TGCCGTGCCATGCCATGCCGTGCCTGCCGCCGCGCTCGTGCCGCCGGCGTGCCGTGCCTGCCGCCTGCGTGTGCGCCTGCCGACGCCTGCCGCTCCTCTCAGCCGCGCGCCAGCAGCTCCCTCGCCGGCCCGCCGCCGTGCACCTGTATGGCTGCCCCGCCCACCCGCCCTCTCCCTCTCCCTCTCCTTTCACCCTCCCGCCCGCCCACCTGCCCTCTCCCTCTCTCTCCCGTCACCCACCCGCCCCCCCGCCCCCTCCCTCCCGCTCCTCTCCTCTCCTCCCGCGCCGGCAGAGGACCAGGACATGGATCGGTGCGCGGTGCGCGACTTTGGGGTGGAGGACTTCAGCTCCATGCTGCGCTGGGCGATGAGGGAGGAGGCGGCGGAGGCGGCGGCCAACCGGCGGCGCAACCGGCGGGGGTGGAGCCGCAAGAAGGCGCGGCTCAGGTGCGGGGTGGCGGGGCGGGGCCGCGGGGCGGCGTGTGTGTCTGGATGTGGGCTGGGGTGTGAAGCCACCACGTGTGTCAGGCTGCGTGTGCGTGTGGGCCTGGTACGGAAGCACCTGCAAGGGGCGGCTGGCCTGGCGCCCGCCCCGCGGGGCTCTGGTTCGGTGCCCTTGCCTGCCGCCCGGCCTCCCCGCCAGCCAGCCGCGCAGCCCAGGCCGCCCGTCGCCCGCTGCGCCGCCGCAGGTCCAAGCGGCTGGCCGGCCAGGGGCTGGACCCTGCGCTGTACTACAAGCCGCCGCCCAAGGAAGCCGCAGACATCAGCTGGATCCCGGAGCGCAAGCCGGAAGACCTGGCGCAGAGGTGGGTGGTGGGGAAGGGGGTGGGGTGGGGTGGGGTGTGTGCGCAGAGGTGTGGTGGTGTGTGTGGTGTGTGTGTGTGAGGGGGAGGGTGGTGGGCAAGGGAGGCAGGTGGCAGGCTGCGGCCCGGGGGCGCGCCCTGCTGGTGCTGGGCAGCAGGCGGCTTCACCAGCTGGCGCTGCTCCGCGGGCACCTGGCCAGCAAGCGCACCGGCGCGGCGGCCCCGCCTTCAGCCCGCCCGCCAGCCCCCCTCCCCTCCCCTCCCGCCTGCCAGGTTTGGGCGGCGGGACAGCCCGGAGTACGAGCCGGCGCCGGGCGGCGGGCGCGACCGCTCGCGCTCGCCGGGCGCGCGCCGTGCCCGCCCCCAGACAGAATTCATCACCACCTTTGGCGGCGGCGGCGGCGGCGGCGGCGGCGGCGGCGGCGGGCAGCCCCCAGCGGCAGAGTACGGCGGCGGCGCGGCGCGGCGGCAGCAGCAGGAGGTCAAGGATGCGGTGCCGGGGGCGGCGGACCCCGCCCTGGAGGGGCCCGCCATGCTGCCCGCCGCGGCCTTCAAGCTGCACGGCGTGCGGCCGGACGACGCGAGGGAGCGCGACAGATACGGCGGCAGCGTGAGCGGCAGGGTGAGCGCCGCGCGCGCCCGCGCCGCTGCCTCGAGCGCCTGTTGGCACCGCCGCGCCTCACGGCTTCCCCTCCCCGCCCCCTCCCTTGCTGCCCTGCACCTGTACCGCGCCTCCTGCTAAACCCCAGCTCTCCTGGCGCCTCCCCACCCTGCCTGCTCTCCCTCCCTGCCCTCCCTTCACGTCTCCCGCAGGACTACAGCCGTGCCAAGGGCGTGGCGGGCGCGGCCCCCACCACCGTGGTCAAGGCTGTCGACCGCAGCAAGGAGACGCCGCAGGAGCGCCTCAAGCGCCTCATGGCAGCGCAGCTCAACAAGAAGATCCAGAAGGACAGCCTGACGGCGGCGCAGGTGAGGGCAGCAGGGCTGGTGGGGGGGTGCTGGCCTGTGGGGCGAGGGGCGAGGGCTGGGGCCTCCGCGCCTGCGGCCGGGAGTGAGACGGCCGGGGTTGCAGTGCTGCTCGGCGGTGTCTTGCCTCCCTGCTGACGTGGAGGCTTGCCTGGTGCGCTCCCCGCCTGCCTGTCCGTGCAAGCGTGCAGAAGCAGAAGCAGGAGGAGGCTGAGCGGCGGGCGCGGCAGGCCAACGAGATAGCGGCGCAGGAGGCGGAGTGGCGGGACAGCGGCGGCCTGTACTCGCAGCCGCCGCCGCCGCGGGCGCGGGAGCGGGAGCGCGAGCAGGAGCGGGAGCGCAGCCCCAGCCGCAGCCGCAGCCGCAGCCCAGAGCGCTACCGGCGGCGCAGCCGCAGCCGCGAGCGGGAGCGAGAGCGCAGCCGTGAGCGTGGGCGGGAGGCGGAGCGTGGAGGGGACGGCAGGGGGCACTCGCGCGGCGGCAGCGACACGCGCCGGCGGCGGAGCCGCAGCCGCAGCCGAGACCGGCGCAGCCGCAGCCGGGACAGGGACAGGCAGTACCGGAGCAGCAGGTAGCAGAGCTGTGCTGCCGCTGCCGGGTGCTGATCCACTGAAGTGCTCGCGATGGATCGCACAGAGGGCGGCAGCGCTGCAGGCTCCTCCCGCCGTGCCCTGCTTGTTGCCCGGCGGCAGCTGCCTAGTGCCCATGCCTTGTGTGCGTCGGTAGCCTGCCACCGGCGTTGGGAGGCCTTCCTGCCGAGTGCCGCGCGCCGGGGCAAGCACGGCGCCACCCCGCCGGCGCACCAGCGTGCCGCCAGCGCCCCTCCCCGCCCCGCTGCTCACACGCTGCTCCTGCGTGCAGGCGGAGCCCCAGCCTTCCACGCCACTACGGCAGCGGCCGCCGGTGAGCGGCGGCGCGGGCCCCGCCCCGCCCAACGAACCGGGGCAGGTGAGCATCCGTCATGGGAAGGTGGTGCAGGCTACGAGACCGTCGTGGCACTCCCTTCCCTTCCACTCTGCTCGTGTCATGCCTGCCTGCGTGTCTCTCTGCCGCATCCTCCCTGCTCTGCTGCTCCCCCACCCCTGCTGCCCTTCGTCCCCGCTCTCTCCCTTGCGCTCTCCTTTGCTGCCACATGGCCGCCAGCCCAGCATCTCAGTGCTGCACTGCGGGCCAACTGTAACAGCAAGCACAAGCGTTTTTACTGCTCTAGTCGGCCTCCGCCGCTGCGGGCCGCGCCTCTGCTGCCTCCGCTGCCGCCGGTGCGGCGCCGGAGGCGCGCCGCGCGCACAGCCAGCTGCCGTCGGCTCCCGGGAACACCCAGCTGCCGCACTCCAGCTCCTGTGCGCAGGTGGTGTATGGGGCGGGGTAGTCCAGCTGCAGGGGTGTGGGTGGGTGGGTGGGGGCAGGAGGTGAGGGTGGGAGAGGGGTCGGGGAAGGGAAGCGAAAGATAGCCTTGAAGGGAGCAGGCAGGCAGGCAGGCAGGGGGTCAGGATCAGCGAGCAGTGCTGAGCCATCACCCCGCCCAGCCACCCACCCGCCCAGCCAGCCAGCCGGCCCGCGGCGCACCTCCAGGCCGGTGGTC